GGATCGGCGTACCGGTTGGCCGAGGCTCGGACTCGATACCTGGGCCAGGTACTGGTGGTTTAAATAAAAAATAAAGTTCTTTTCCATTTCAATACCTTTCCAGTACATAACTACATAGAAAATTATAAATCCTAAGTCTAGAATTAAGCGTATTGTAAGTCCCAATACGCTTAATTCTAGACTTAGGATTTTTAATTTTCTATTTAGTTATGTACTGGAAAGGAATTGAAATGGAAATGAACTTTATTTTTTTGTTTAAGACATCAATTATAGAATCAATGTATAGATAGTAGTAGCAGAAAATATGTACAAAAAGAAGTAAGGGGGGAAAAAAAACATAAAATAAAATATGTTCAAAACGATATTAAAAAACTGCAAAATAAATTACGTATCACAATATGAAAAATATTATGAGTGGAATGTGTTTACAACTTTACACGCTTGCTGGAGTGAAATTCCTTTGACTTACCGTCAAGAGTTTTGTCACCAAATTCCAGACCCGGACTTACAAGCCCTCGATTTAAAATAATTACTTACGGTAACGTCGGTAAGAAGGTGCGTGCTTCTTTGCTAGCAGCACCTCGACCGCGGGCACAGGACTGATTTCATGAATTTCATAGTTTTTCGAAGTCTTTAACTGTCTTTTTTCTTTTTTTTTCCTTTTCGTTTCTAACTGCCTTTTTGTCTAGGTGCGTTCTGTTTGTGGTGCTGTTCCTCGTTGCTCGTCTCTATTTTGCGATAGTCACGTTGTATATCCCTCTTTTTTTATTTTTTATTTTTTATTTTTTCTTTTTTCTTTTTTCTTTATTCTTTTTTCTTTTTTCTTTTTTGGGTGGGGGGTGGGGGGTGTGTGGAGGAAGCCTATCGGCCTTGAGATGTCATCTCAGACTGAACGGCCCCAGGTAGTAGTCTTAGAATTGTTTGAGTCCGTTCAGTCCGAGATGACATCTCAAGGCCTAGCTCAACTGGTTGTATTGAGATTCAAACTCCCGTCTGTATTTTAACAGGTCATGGGTGTCCCAACTGAGCTAGGCCCATTGGTGTCCTATGTCCAACCCCGTTTTCCACATCAGATTCTGCTCTTTGGTGTGGTCTTTGTTTCGTTCATTAAATTTTATTTTCCTCGTTGTTTCCTTCTCTTACTTATTGTTTTTTCCCTCTCTCTTTTTTTTTTTTTTTCCCCTCTCATTTTACCCTTGCTGTGCAGCGGGCCACCCTGTCCTCCAGAGACATTCAATCCGCGGTCCAATTATGTCTTCCAGGCGAGCTTGCAGTGAATGCTATGTCAGAGGCAAAGAAGGCGGTGATCAAATTCATCCGACATGGCAAGGCAAGTGAGAGACGTAATATAATAATTAAATCTAATAGATTTTATTTAATAAATAAAATGATTGTAATATAATTAGTAAATATCATAAATTAGTAAATACTAAATACTAAATAATAAGGATTTAATTTAATGGCTTGGGAAGCTGGGACTCGACAGTTCAACTTTACTGTCACAGTGTCTGCCGCTAAAGGACAAGGTCGTCTGTGAGCAGTCCTACTCATACCGCCTCCCTAAGTGGTGTCCACGACTCGGAAGTTAAAAAAAAAAAAAAAAAAAAAAAAAAAAGAGAGGCTTTCGCAACAAAAAAAGAGTGAAAGCCAAATGACAGAAATTCCAGAATGCAAAATCACATTGAAAGGCAGAAAGTCCAGCAAAGTCCAGAAAGCAGAAATGGACCGATATATCGCAAACGAAGAACCAAAGCACCGAATCCCAGTGTGAATGAGGGCAGACTCGCGCCACCACCGACATATGTATCCATACCCCTTCCTCCTACTTGGCGCTCAGCGCCCAGACTACGATCACACAGCTACTGCCAGCGTACGAATCGACAATGCAACAGGTTGACGTCAGCAGCAGAGCCGAAGCACATGAAGATGTCGACCCTGGTAGACCATCGCCAAGACCAGGTACGTGCCCTCTCATCATCAACTCGATCTCTCTCTCTCGCGCGCACCGTTGACTTCATCACCCACGTCTTCTCCCGCATATATGACACAAAGACCACCCCCACCCCCACTGGCTATCCAAGCCAAGCCCCGGCTACGTGGGGCTGGCGATGACGCTGCCCTCAGCAGCGCCCTGCCTTCTCGCACAACCGCACGCGCGCACGCACTTGCCTATGCGCTAACGCAGCAGCCCATGAGCGCTAGCTCCAGTGGCACTGCCACATCTGCACGCCAGTACCCGACCCCCATCCTCGGACCCTGCCGCTTTCCTATTATGCGGAAAGTGGCGGGCGAATTGCCACCCGCTTTCCCACGAGACTGCGTTTCCAGTACTAGCTGTAGCTTCAGTCTCGGCCAAAGTGTCTGCGCCCAAGCCCGTTCAGACAGTGGCCCGGAACCAGATTGGAAATTGGTTAGGCATGCCCATCCCCCCAGGAGGCACAACCGTGCGGTGCTCCCTGCTTTGACCACGTTGCTTGAAGAGCCTGGAGGGCTCGCGCATAGGGCCTCGCTGCACTACTCTTGAAATGTGCAAAACGAGAGTGAATGTTCCGCTAGAATATGGACAGATACACCGCCATGATTTTTGTCTTTTGTGCATTTCAAGAGTAGTGCAGCGAGGCCCATAGTCTCCCATTCTCACGAGCAAAGCGGATGTGTAACCAACTGGCGCGTGGCAACTGCAACTGTCTGGCACCCAGGGCCACCCACCAAGATTTGCAAAAATTTATGAACTCAGCGGCACATTGAGATTCAGGGGGGCCGCCTTCACTTAGGGCGGGCACACGCCTGCTGCAGGGCCGCCTCCTTATGCTGAGGGGTAAACCCTCGCACTCTGGTTTCAAAACAAAAACAAAAACAAAAAAACAAAAATAATAATAATAATAATAATAATAATAATACAATAATTAATAAAAGTTAGCATATTGAGCTGATGTTTTGCGATCTCGTGTAAGCTGAACAGCATGGAAGGTCCTTCAGGACATACGTTAAAGTTGGAACGATACAGAGAAGGGTAGATTAGTAATAACTAATTACCATAGCCCCTGCGCAAGGAAAGGATGACACGCATAAATAGAGAACAGCATGGAAGGATCCTCAGGCCAGATTACCGTTATTGGAATTTCAATATTTTATTAGATTTTAGAGCAACTGTATGCTAAAAACACTAATGCAATTATGCAATACCCTATCCTATTGCTTCCATAAATTGATTAATTAATTAATTAATTAAAAAAAAAAAAACACTAATGCTTGCAGAGCAGCTTCAAATCCTTTGAGCACGTTTTTTTTCTTTCTTTTTTGGGTTATGCCAAATTCCTGCTGATGTAGGCAGGGCCAACCCTGCCAAGTGCCAAAAAAGAGTGGAGACAGCTGCGGCAAATAGTTTGTTTGCGGGACTGCAAGACTCAATCGACACAAACAACGCCATAGCCGATGTCTTTTTTTTTTTTTTTTTTTTTTTTTGAATCCCCCGGTTGGATGCTAGAGGTGCTGATAAGAGCAGGCACCGCTATCATACTCGGGGAGGCTCCATCTATTGGTGGGGAGCAGCACCTGCTGGAAACCAGGTCCAGCGCCCCTGAACATTGTCATCATTCTTGGTACTATACAGAGAGATATAGTTGCTCGCCTGCAGATCTGCTATCATGACATACCCCGGAGCTGTACTTACGCTCCTGCCGGACTACCTATTGAAGATCCCTGAGCAGCTGAACTCACTGCCATCCTGCCAGCATTGGTTACGGCAACCGTGAAACCAGGGGATTGACTGAGCAGGTACAGCCTACACAGCTCCGTACCACTGCAGATCCACGATGGAGAGGCCATGGGGTGGAAAGGGATCGGGGAAATCATCAGGAGGGCGCAGAAGGGGAAATCAGAAGGAGGGCGCCACAGTCCCTTCTGAGCACGTCGCCACCCGCTTCCGGAGACTGTCCCTTCTGAGCACGTCGCCACCCGCTTCCGGAAATCTACCTTGGTCCGGTCGTTGAAGCAGATACCATAGTCCCTTCTGAGCACGTTGCCACCCGCTTCGGGAGACCGTCCTCCCTCCCAACGAATGTGGCATATCCCGCCATCCCTCTCCAGCCATGCCCTGGAAAACTGTTTGATGGCTTGCATCATGTCTTTTTTCGTTTGATTCGATGAAACAGATCCAGTTTTGCTTTCACACTTTGCCACTGTGTCATGATTTCTTCGTGAATATATTGCTCAACCATTTGGGTGACCTCTTCCACCTCTATTCTGACTCCTTCAATCGTGTGTATGCACCGTTTCCGCCAAAGGGCCCAAATGACAGCTCTTTTCCTCGTTTTGAACATATTATTTTCAAAGGGACAGTCCGTGGGAGAAGACCAGGCTTCACATAAGAGGGCTCTCCAGTCCCATGGCCATGTGGATGTAGTGCCGAGCTGTTGCCAGATCCTGTCCCACCATCGCAAGTGCAAATTGCAAAACTTAAAAAGACTCGATTTTAACGAAAACGTAGTAACTGTTATTGCCACGGAGTGAACGAGGACAGGACAGAAATGGAAAAAACAGGCTGAGACCTGCGAAACGAGACCCGAGCTCGAGCTCAAACGAGACCCGAGGCTTCGAGCTAAAAAAAAAAAAAACGAGACCTGCCAAACGAGACCCCAGCTCAAAAGTGAGACCTGCCAAACGAGACCCCAGCTCAAAAGTGAGACCTGCCAAACGAGACCCGAGCTCTCAAAAAAAAAAAGAAAAAAAAAGAAAAAGAAACCCGATGCGATGGAACTGAATGGACGCAACGAAACCTGACGCGAATAGGAACCAGTGATCTATCACCTTTTTTTTGTTTTTTTCCTCGCTAATCTTCTGTGTATTATTCGAATTTTAACAGATGGATCTGTCGCCCTTACTGTGTTCTATAGGGCATTTTTCAACCTACCGTCTTCACCCCTATACAACGCCCGCTCATGATGGCTGTGCATCTGGACAGAAAATTGCACCAAATACGGCTATAATGACCGGGCGTTGTCTTCGGGCGAAGACGGTAGTCTTTTTTCGGACACCCTCTGGTCGCCCCCACTGTTATTCTCGGGCCTCGCCGCGTTACTCAAGAAACGTGAGAACTGGGGACTGCATCTTCACACAAAAGATTGCAAGATACATCCACGGCACCTTGCCACCTTAATGTGCAAGATGGTGGGACTCGCGAATTCCCACATTCGGTGGGTAGCACAATAATGCCGGATGTATCTTGCCGCCTTTTATGTGAAGAAGATGCACTCGCAGACATTCTCGCATTTTGCAAGTTGTGAACTAGTACTGGATGTACCTTGCCACCTTCTACGTGAAGATGCACTCACCCATTCTCCAATTTTGTCAGCAGGGCAGCTATTATACCCATCTGTTAGGGACGACGGATGGAAAGGTGGAAATGGGGGGGGGAGTGATTGGTGGTGGAGTTCCGAGGATATGAGTCCTTGGCATGCCTGTAAGAGGGGCCCACCGCCCCGCCGCAAGCATCGTGCCCGCCCTAAGTCAAGGCGGGCCCCGTAATATCTCAAAGTGGCCTGGAAATTGCAATTTTGCCCACGGCACCCCTTGTGGGCGCCAGACAGTCATCACGCGCCCTGGCAGTTCGTTACAATGCCTGTCTTGCCAGCATCAGAATTCTCAGTGATCCTTCTACTACCTTCTTCCCCCGAATACAACATATGGTCATGATAACTGTATGTAGACTGAAAGATACCCCAGATACAGCTATAATTACCGTACATTGTATTCGGGGGAAGAAAGTAGGCTCATCTCCCCTCAACGTGGAAGCAGGTCTCTCGGCCTATCAGCAAGCAGGGAACAACTCATTGGTCCCTGGGCGGTTGGGCCCGCCTAACTTGAACTGCTGCGGGCCCAGGCCACTGTCTGAACGGGCCTGGGCCAACGTGTCTGCAACTCTGCACCCAGGCCCGTTCAGACTTTGGCCTGGGCCCGCAGCAGTTCAAGTTAGGCGGGCCCAAGGCCCAAGCCTGTTCAGACTTTGGCCTGGGCCCGCAGCAGTTCAAGTTAGGCGGGCCCAACCGCCCACTGGCAGCGCAGAGTTGCGGACACTTTGGCCCAGCGAGAAGCTTAGCCTACTGGAAGCACCGTGACAGGCCTCCCTGCCACACAGACTGGAGGCCAGGACGCTTTCCATAATATAGGAAAGGGCCCGGGCGGCACGGTGGCCTCGATGCTATATGGAAAGTGTCCTGGCCTCCAGTCTGACGCTTTCCATATAGGATGGAGGCCACTGTGACGACGAAGGATTGAGGCACTTGTCTGTGCCAGGAGGCAGCGGTGCTGGAGCAGTCGCTCGCGGCTGCTGGCGCTAGGTGCCCGGGCGAGAACGGTCGCAGGGAAGTGGGTGCTGCTTGGAAGCAGCACCAGAGCTCAGACTCCATAGATGGGCATCAGATCG